GGAGCCCCGCACAGACACTAGTATGCGTGCGTGCTTCGCGCGCGTGCACGAGGACGCCCCGGCCCAGTTCCAACCGAACCGGTTGGAACGGGGCGAGAAACCCATCCCTGTACCGGGTCCATGTTTTTTAAATTAGTGCATGCAAGATCCTGGATTTAAGGCCCCCAAATAAATGAAAATACCAGTATGCAGGGCAGCGAAGTGGTATGTACTTTTCATAATTGGAGAACGATGTAACCAGACAGCTTAAATTTGGCCTTTGCCAGTAATAGCACACCCACGTAATTTCTGCTCGCAAAAGGAAATACATTTTCATCTTTTTTCTCTTGCCTAGAAATCCCCTGACATTTCATGTAAAGGATCACTCAGCCTTCTCTAACCGTAGCAGATTTTCAAAAGTGTGGGATCCTTGAAGTAATTGGCAAAGATACTCCTCCACTTTGGTAGGATTTTTCATTGGGCTAGTGGCTTCTGTGGGATTCACTTTCTGGGTTCATCAACATGTTTGTGATAAAGTGCTTTTCTTTCATTCTAGACTAGACTAGACTAGAAAATTTTATTTGGCCAAGTGTGATTAGACACACAAGGAATTTGTCTCCGGTGCATAAACTCTCATTGTATAATAATCATAATAACGATACAAATAAGAGAAGGTAGAAGAAAAGATGAGAAGGATAATAGTAATACAGCCCTACTACATGGGTAGATATCCCTAGGCATAAGATAGTGCTGTGGTAATTAAGTGTTCAACAGAGTGATGGTATGAGGGGAAAAAACTGTCTTTGTGTCTAGTTCCTTTGGCATACCCTATAGTGGCATCCTGGCAGCCACTATATGAATTGAAATAGTTTATGCCTAGGACAGTGATGGCGAACCTATGGCACGCGTGCCACAGGTGGCATGCGGAGTCATTTCTCGAGGCCCGTGAGGCGCTGCCCTGTCAGCTGGCCAGCGGGCATGCACGCGCTGGCCATCTGAGTTCACCCTTTTTTAAAGGGTGCCCTCCCCAGGCTCCAGAGGCTTTATAGGAGCCTAGGGAGGGTGAAAAGAGCCTCCACCCCGGAGGTCCTCTGGAGGCTTCATGAGCTTCCATGAAGCCTCCGGAGCGCAAAAAATACATTTTTGCAATGAAAATCAAGATGGCGCCACTGAGGATAGAACTGGTTCGGGTGTGTGTCTGGTCAAGTTACTACCTACTCCGCCGAATTGGTCCCAACTGGTATGAACCCACCTCTGGTGCAGTGGTACGGCTGAGCTTCACTGGTCCGCTGGGTTACCTGGGATATCAGAATTTAACTTTCTAAATATGCCAATTCAAGATATTTCATTGCCTAGGAAAGAATAGATAATTGCACCTAGATTT